AAAAATAATTTGAATTGTTAAAAATATATCTTCAATTTTTAGTTGAAGGTTTAAATCCTACCTTGGCATCTAATTGAACTAAAAATATTCACTTTATCATACTTTTAATCGTTATTATATGTCTCAATTATGTGTAGCTTAAAAATTATAAACAAAACTAAAAAAAAATGGACATATATTATAAATTTAGGGGAAATTGTGAAAGAGATAAGCATGGGAAGGCCACGTCATGTGATTTGCTAGCTGTATCGCATTTGCTTTTGGTGATTAAGTCATATGTGATTGGGTAAGAGGCTACGGGGAGCCATAATGGACCTATTTCTTTCAATTTTATATGTTTATGCACAAATGTCCATAGATTTATTTTTGCAACTATTTTTTTTCTTATAAATATATAAACTAATAAAATCAAGTTTTACTCCTCGCTTTTTTTATTAGAACTTTGAAGTTTCCAATGGACTGACAGAGTACTCCCATAAAATCTGTACGTGGTAAAAATTAAATTCTTAAACTTACGTCATTAAAAAGTAAAAATAAAAATAAACCACTATTACATAGGACTTAAGATATTTGCTTGATAAATTATTTAAAGAGTAGGTTGTTTAAAGAGGAGTCAATCCTTTGAAACTAATTTAATTAACTAACACCAGTAAATTCAATGATTAATCAACAATAACCGTCATTAACTAAGTGGGTACTTAAATCTCTTCATTTTGTGAGAAAATACCTGAAAATTTGTTTATTTATAAAATTTTGATTAAAAGAAGACGTTGACATCTCCATTATTGACTACAACCTCTCATAAAAAAGTAAATTCCAAATGCAAAACATAAGAAAAATATTTAATTTTAGACAATATCCACTAATGCAATAAGAGGGGTTCATTAATTGATTGCTATAAGAACCTAATCAATAAGTCTCCCACTAGTAAACCCAACTTGGTGCTAAATTCAACCAAATATATCCACATATGCATGCATTGTGGAGATGATCTCTTTTTATTATTACAAACTTTGGAGTTGTAAGGCATTATTTGTCACATAAGTACATATTATATTTTCTCCTAAATTGCTTTAGAATTTTTTTTGAATATTTAATTCATAGCTTTATATTTTATCTTGTATAAGGAAAAAAAAAAACAAGAGTTTGTGGGTGGGTCGTCAGTAATTAAGTAAGATTTTCTACTTCTTTTTTGTTTTTTTTATATATAAAAAATTGAATATTAATAGTAATTAATAAGTAGGGGCAAGTAGGGTAGCTAATTGGAGATCACGCTTAATAATTTAATTTTAGGTAAATGTTCGATTAAAACGCACTTTTATAAAGCAAAGTCTAAGCTTATGACTAATTAGGGATATATATGAAAGATATTGGATGGGAAGATGGGGTTTTATTTTCCAATTATATTGTTTTCTTTTTTGTTCAACTCTTCTCCAAACCGTACTCGTAAATAAATAAATAACCCATCTCCAAAAATGGGGTCTTTTGATAAAATCCAATTAAGGCCACGTTAGCTGGAATTAATTACCAATATTTCCTCCCTATATACATTAGTTCTATTGGGTTGGAGTTGTTAAAAAAAAAAAAAAAAAGATGACATTAGGAGATAATTTCAATCTGAATCGATACGTGATATTTACCATACATTTGACAAAATTTCAATGTGATGGTGTAAATTTCAACTAAAAATTTTCCATTTTTATTTGGATGTGACTTAAAGTAGTGCTATATTTACAAATTTCCTCACTTTTGTGCTACGATTTGATATTATTTTAGACCAAATTATCATATACATAATTGTCCCATAATTTAATTGGCTAGAATATATTCTCAACCATGGCTACCAAATAGGCAGGGTCGAGAAATTGGATTTTAATTACACAATCCTTTATATGGAGAATCTTGTAATTAATGGTGTCGTATGAGGTCTATTTCCAACACATTTAAGTCTCATTCAAAGAACGCCAAAGTCACTTAGATATGGAAAATATTTTCCATTGGACGGTTACAACAAAATCAGTGCAAACTCCATTTTTATTTTGTAATATATTTTATAGAGACAACGATTTATTACAAATGATATTTCATTGTCAACATTAGTTTAGATAAGCACTAATTAGTATCTATTTCTAATCAATAAATCATTAGTTTAGATAAGCACTAATTAGTATCTATTTCTAATCAATAAATCATGAGTTCATTTGTTGTAAAAAAAATGATGCTTCATTTATTGTTAACCCATATTTAATGGATACTGAGATGAAACTTTAATTTGATTAGCAAAATAAAGAAGATTAAACACCAAATCCAATCACATAAACATCCCAATCTAGACAGAAAAATGCTAAAATCCAACCAAAATCGACCGGTGAAAAACCACATAATTTTCAAAGTGTAAAATTTTATTTTCCAACGAGAATAATACTCATATTATTATTATTATATATTTTTGAACTTTAGGACAATGGAAAAACTGATTGTAATTGACAAAATTTTGGAGATGGGAATTTATTTTGTTGGTTGAGAATATATGATTTGTTAAAGAATAGAAAACAAAGCTTTCATTGATTTAAACTCCAACCCCATCCACTATGCAACGAAATTGGAATTGTCAAAAAGGGTGGTTAGGTAAAAAGTCAGTGTCTAATTTCAAAAACGACAGCTCCTCCGATCCGACCCATTGTGTTGTTTTTCAACTCTCTTAACCCCACATCTCCTTTCCCAGAGAATCTCCCCATTAATTAATTAGTTTTCTCGGCAACCAAACACCCAAAAACAATAATATGTAATATTATTAATGGCACAGAAAGCAGCCGCTAGCGTTTACGAAGGCATTACTATCACTGTGAAAATTTCTAGTACTACTAAAGTATTATTATGAATACTCATTTTATTTTATAAAAAATAATATAGAATCCACACTAATACTACAGAATAATTTATAAAATGAAATTATAGCGTGAAGAAAATGAATATGATATGATAATTGGTGGTACTGAATTTTTTTGGCAGGAGAATGAGGCAATGTCAGGGCCGATGGCGGTCTCTGTTTTTTGTCTTCTTGCTTCTTCTGAGTCCTCTCTTCACTTTTTTTAAACAAAATTGTTCCGTTTCAATCCCTTTCAAAATCCGATATTTAACCTCCTTTTCAATATTTAAGTTAAATTACAACTTTTTGGGTTTATTTGCTTAAAATTCTTTTACTAGGTTGTTGACAGCTTTTAGATTATGCTTTGAAGAATTTTAAAAAGAGTTTTAAGTTTTTAAATTTGAGTCTAATTAGGTGACCTTTGTTAGTTTTATACTTACGTGACACATTGTGGGTCATTAATCTAGTCATTGGTATACAATACCTATGAAAGAAATTGGATTGACGACATTTTTCAATCATTCTCATCAATTCACTATAGTTCAATTAGTGTGTTGATTTTCTTTCTTGTTATAAGAGCTTTGCTGTGGGAATTCTCAATTTAACATTTTTCATGTTACGTAAACTTATTTATTATTATCAATTATCACTAAACTAAGTTCAGTTGGACAAGTAGTTGACTGGATGATTATCATTCATGTTATACAAAATAAATAAACTTTAGTGGTTAAATAAAAATCATATATATGGAGTATATTATATGACATCTATACAACGTAACTAAAAATAAGAATAAAACCCTATAAATCAATTTTAAGAATTTCAGGTGGATTGATGTATATAGGAATCTAGAGAAAAATCCCTCTCGTACAAAAACAGTGCTGTAAATACTCAATATAAGAAGATGGTTAAGAAAATTAAAAGATCTACTTTGATTTTTTAAAAAGAAAAAAACTACATCAAAAGATTTAGAAGAAAAAAATAAACGCAGAAACAAAATATTATGATGGCCTATTTTTTTAGAAAATTAGACTAAAATTTCTTTTAAAATAAAGCTTTATATAATAATTTAAAGTACAAATTTACCTTTTAACTTTTATGGATCATTCCAAGACAAAAATGGAAAGAAAAATATATAATTCACAACTACTAAAAGAAAGCTTTAAAAAATAGAGGAAATAAGTTGAGTGAAATGATTGTGTGGGGGAAAGCATCCCACAAGCCACAACCACTATTTCCCACTTGGGATTGGAAGAATTCTTTTGCTAAGAATTCAAAGTGGATTTTTTCTTTTTTGAAAATTATTCAAAGTGGATTTTAAAGACCAAAAACTTTCTGCCTTGTGTAGCCCATTTAAAGATTCAATTACATAATTGAGAATATGTTTGTGAAATTTCCCCCAAGGTTAATATTTGAGTTGAAAGTCATGCCCATTATCTATCTACGTTTGTAGCTGGCTAGAAAATTTATGTTTTTTATTTTCAGAATTTAACAAACACACATTGTCCCACTTTATTGAGGTTTTTTTTGTCCAAAAAATAGGATTGTTTTAAAAAACAATGAAATTTCGTGAAATTTTTAAAATTACATATTAAATTTATGATACCTATTCCTTATTTATTTACTTTTTTTTGAAATGTAAGTGTTATTCTAAACATTTTATTTTTCTTCTTTCTTCTTCTTCTTCTTTTTAATTATGGCTGTTCTATTTTCAAATATTAAATATACGTTTGGTAAAAGTCAGGCGGTTACCCCGTGAGATTAGTCGAAGTGTGTTTAAGCTGATCTGAACACTCCTGGATATAAAAAAAATGTGATGGTCTCTTTATTTATTAAACATTCGCATTGGTAATAGTTTAATTTATAATATTGTCCTATGTTATTTATGTTTTTATCAAATGGACCAAATTAGGATTTGGAGCGAAGTACAATTATTCAAAAATTTAAGTCATAATTGTCGCTAAACATCTTATAGTATAAATAATAAAAAAGGAGGTAAACTGAATACAATTGGTTAAATCATATTTCCTTGACTAAGAGGTCGGGTTTGAATCTCTACTCCCACAGGTTCAAATAAAAAGAAAATAATAATAATAATAATAAAAAAGAGGGAATTAATGAAAAATTCTATGGTGGCTTTTTGTCTTTGGAGTCACAAATCAAAGGACGTCTTTGATTTTCAAATTGGCTGGGTGTTTGGGTTATTTTGGGCCTGATTCTAACTTGATTTATATTTGGGCCAAAACCTGGCCCAACTCCTGGACTCTTCCCTGAATGAATCGACACGTGTCGGCCCAAGAAAATAATTTAGGAGAATCGACGGATATGGCTGTGACAGTATCAGTTTCATCGTTCTCTGCATATTGCCGACCGATCCAAAACCCTAGACCTTCCACCGTCAATTTGATTCGATCGTCATCTTCTCCGGCGACATCGTCAACGATGGAGACTCACCCGGAAGCAAAAAAAGTAGTCGTATGCGGTGGTGGAGTGATCGGAGTCTGCACCGCTTACTTCTTAGCGAAGAAAGGGGCGGCAGTGACTCTCATCGAGAAGTCCTCCGTCGCGTGCGCCGCTTCGGGCAAGGCCGGCGGGTTCCTCGCTCTCGACTGGTGCGACGGCGGACCCCTATCCACCCTCGCTCGCGCAAGCTTTAATCTCCACCGTTCGCTCTCACAGGAACTCGATGGCCCTAAATCGTACGGCTACAGAGCCCTGACCACTCTCAGCCTTACGATTTCCGAATCGCAAAACCCTCCCTCCACTTCCAAATCCACCAGCGACTCCGCCGTTCCTCCGTGGGTCGACGGCCCGGCGAGAAGTACGAGAACGATTGGGAACACGGAAACAACGGCCCAAGTGCACCCGCAGCTCTTTACTCGGACTCTCATTTCCAATGCTATCGAAAAGTACGGAGTGGATGTTGTGATCGGGAAATTGGAGAGGGTAACGTCGGAGGAAGGCAGAGTTCAATCGGCGGTGCTTGAAGACGGCCGCGTTTTTAACGCCGATGCGGTGGTTCTGGCATTGGGACCATGGTCCGGCAAGTTCGAGCCCCTATCGTCGCTGTTCAGAGTGTACAGTCTGAAAGCACACAGCATAGTTTTGGAACCTAAAGAGCCCGACGCCATTACTCCCCATGCCCTATTTCTGAGTTATTATCAGGCTGGGGGAGGTAAACCCATAGATCCAGAGGTGTATCCTCGTCCCACAGGTGATTTCGCTTTCTACTTTTGAATTTTTCAGAGAGTTTGTTGGGATTATGATTTTGAATCTGAATGGGGAGGATGATGGGCAGGGGAGGTGTATTTGTGCGGGATTGCGGCGGAGGCGGAAGTGCCGGAGGATCCAGAGGAAATTTCGGCGAATCCAGAATCAATAAAGGTTCTAAAGAGAGTGGCGAAGAATGTGTCGAGGCGACTGGGGGAAGGAGAGGCGGAAGTGAAGGCGGAGCAGGCTTGCTTCTTGCCGTGCACGGATGACGATTTGCCGGTGATCGGGGAGGTTCCGGGGATGAGGGGGTGTTATGTGGCGACTGGACATAGTTGTTGGGGAATTCTGAATGGGCCTGCAACAGGGGCGGCCATGGCTGAGCTTGTTTTGGATGGGCAATCCGCCATTGTTGATCTTAATCGGTTCAGCCCGGCCAGGTTTGTGGGACGAAGAAGAAGGAACCATTCTTAAAATGGAATATGGCGTGGGATCTCTCACTCTCAGTTTCACTCCTCTTCCCTTCTTAAATCTCTGGGAAGCTCTTTCATTTTTCAAAAATATGTATATCTTTTAGTCAATTATTCTAGACATGTATATAATGGATTTCAAAAATAAAATGATTATTCTTAAATTAATAATAAGAATTATAAAAAAAATCATCTTCTTTCTACATTCATAAAAAAAAAGAACAATTTTCATACTTAAGTTAGAAAAAAAAAAAAAAGAATTAAGGTAAAACAATTTGAAAGTCTAACTATAAAAAATGAAGTTAACATAAAACAATTTTCATAAGTTCGAACTTTCCTACACTAAATTTGTACTTGAAGAAAAAGGTTAACATCAAAATATATCTTCTATTTAATATTTAAGGTCAAACCTAAATTTATTGATATAATTACGTTGTTTTGTAAGCTAGTTCTTAGCAAATTGAAAATTAATTATTTGTTACTCAAACTCCTTTTAATAACTTTGTGTTTAGAATTTAACAATTTAAGTACCCTCGATAATTGTTTCGATTTTAACTTATTTTAGGTTTCAGTTAAATGAGGCGTTCTTGCCCACACTTTTTTAGAGGGCACTTGCAAATACGGATATCTTCAGAAAAAACGGAAGTCGAACTGTAAAATTATAAATTCACAATTTAATATATCTGATATATATTTGTATATACTATTAATATAATAATGATATACAATTGATTTAATTCTAATATAATTATCATATCTTTTGAACTTCTAACATGTCTTATTATTGATGTACGTATGACAACTATTGATTTACCACGTTGATACAATACATATATATGTAATATGTATTTGATATGTCTCTAATTTACCATTGATATACAAATGATATACCGCTGATATAACTATGGTATCTACTGACGTTTCTTATATGATTATATGATTTACCACTAATATAATACTGATATATATTTAATATGCTTCTAATTTACCATTTATATACCTCTGATATAACCATTTTATCTACTAATATAACCATGACATATGTGTATTGATATCATACTATTATATCCAATATTTTTTTCAGATGAAAACAATGATGCAAGATTTTTTATTTTTTATTTTTGAAATATAAAGTTATTATATAAAAGGTTTATGTGAACCATGCACGTCCAAAAAGACAAGTTAAAATTTTGATATATTTTATAAATTTAAACAGTTGATATTCCTTATATTTAGTATCTAATTAATGTTAATATTAAATAAATAGTAGTGATATACTAATCAAAATTATTGATAATATTAGTATATTAATCAACAAATTGAAATGATAAACTAGAATTTAAACAGTTGATATACTAGTAAAAATTAAACAACATTTGATATACCTTATATTTAATATATCAGTTGGAAATATATTTAGTATATCATAAATTAGAAATACATCGGATATATATATATATATATATATATATATATATATATATATATATATATAATAAGTATATTTGATGTATGTCAGTAGTACATATGATAATGTATATCATGGTACATCTGATACTGTATATTAGGGGTACATCGAATGTATATCGGAAGTATATCAAAGTTACATTGGATGTACATTAGATATAGATTTGATATATATTATAAACAAATTTACCTCAGATGTATATCATATATAAATTGGATGTATATCAGATATAAATATACATTAGAGGTATATCAGATATAGATATACATCAGATATATATTAGATATCATGAGGGTAAAATTGGAATAATAAAAATTTCGAAAAAAAATATTCAAATATTTTGAAATTTTGAAAAGCTGGTGACATTTTCTGAAATACAAAAAATATTTTTGCTACCTAGTATAATTACCCTTTTTTTAATTATGTTCACTTTCCCGGAAAAAAAAACCCATTTGATTTTGTTAGCCAAATTTGAAATACATAAAATTAACCTTTTTTTTATTTATAATTTAGCTTAGATTTTAAACACGTTAAAAGGAATAGATAATTTAGGAACAAAATATATCAGTGAGGGCAAAGTTTACCGGCTATATCAATCATTTTTGTTGCTTTTGTGTAATCGGTCCTTCTTTTTTAAACTTTATTTACTGGCCTTTCTTAATTTTCCAATTATTGGAGAGGTAGTCTTACATTTTCATAGACCTCTCGAGTCTACTCCATATTTTGTTTTCAATTTTGTATTCTAAGAAAAGTTAAAATTTTGGATAAAATTATTTAGTTAGTTATTTTATTTTAATATATAAAAATACTGTGTAGAACAAATTTCTAATTTTTTTTTTGAAATAAAAGTTATTCATAAAATACAAAATGAAATGGTATTAAATACATGTTAAATTAATTACTAAATATGATACATAAATAATTCTACATTAAATTCCCTTCATATTTCTTTTATTAAAATATTTCCTTCATGGGCCTTGGCCCAAAAAGTTTCTAGTTGTGGTGGAGTAGGGGGGCCCAGTGGCCCATGTGTAGGTGGGGTGCGTCGTGACGTTTCATTTTGAATAATTGGGAATCCCGCTCCTCCTCCTGTTTTAAATTCCTCTCTCCAGAGAGCCGTTGGTAATCGACCCCAATTCGATCATTCATCTCCACCGCTGCAACTCCGTAGAGAGAAATTGAGATCAGACTCCGACGAATTTCCGTGGCGGGAGAGATTCAGAGCGTTAAGAAATGGCGACAAATATTGGGATGATGGATTCTGCTTACTTCGTAGGAAGATCGGAGATCCTCGCCTGGATCAACTCTACTCTTCACCTTAATCTTTCCAAAGTTGAGGAGGTTGCTTCCCGAAACCCCTAATTTTGATCTTCTTTTATTCGTATCTTCCCGAGCTTTTGGAATTTTGTTTTGTTATGACGCTAATTGGGTTCTTGATTTGTAGGCATGTTCTGGTGCGGTCCACTGCCAACTGATGGATGCGGCTCACCCAGGGATGGTGCCGATGCACAAGGTCAACTTCGACGCGAAGAGCGAGTACGAAATGATCCAGAATTATAAGGTCCTCCAAGATGTCTTCAATAAACGAAAGATCACCAAGGTATCTCCTTCAAATTTTTTCAACCGTTAATTCAGTTTCTTTAAGAAATGGTCCTACAGATTAGGATTTTCTTTTGGGTTCTTGCATCTGCTGTATCCATGATCTGTATTTGTTTACTAATTTCCTTGAAATGTTTATAGCATATCGAAGTGAGTAAGCTTGTGAAAGGAAGGCCTCTTGATAATTTGGAGTTCATGCAGTGGATGAAACGTTATTGTGATTCCGTCAATGGAGGCGTTCTGCAGAGGTAATTTTGTCACTAGCTTTTCATTCATAATTCGCCCAAATTGCGTCAGGCCTTGAGATATTACCCAATCTGCTCTCTTTAGTATCTGACATTCAAATCTCGATTTTTTTTTAATTACATATAAACTCACAATGTTCAACATCAATATATGAAAAGTTATGACAATGAAGAAGTTATTGTATATTTATATTAGTCTGGATTGTCGAATTTCATGACAATAGTTCATATATTGATAGTTTAGTTTTTGCTTTTTTATTGTTAGTTATAATGCTTTGGAAAGGAGAGAAGCTTCCAAGGGAGGAAAGGAGGCAAGCAAAAGAAGCACCACATCGCATTCTTCTGCAAAAGGTTCAACAGCTGTGTCCAAGCCTCAGATCTCTCAGAATGCTCGTAAAAATGACACGTCGGTAAACTCTGGAAATCAGGCAGTAAATGTTTCAAAACCTCCATCTAATGGATTAACTGCATATGATGAACAGGTATTTTCTTTTTGATGCTGCGTGAATATCATTTTTAGCACAATAGAAACTTGGGAACTATATACTTGAGTATAAAATGCAGATCACAACATTGAAACTGTCGATCGACAGCCTTGAGAAAGAGAGGGACTTCTATTTTGCAAAATTAAGGGATATTGAGCTACTCTGCCAGAGTCCAGAGATTGAAAACTTGCCTGTACTTTTCCTGATTCCTTCTCTCTGTTGTATATCTGCAATTTCTTTTAGGCCTACTAGAATTTCAAGCATATGTTCTTCCATGAAGTGAGCATTTCAATTTCCATTCGTTTTACAGGTTGTGGGAGCTATAAGAAAGATACTGTATGCTGTAGATGATGATGCATCAGTGGTGGCAGAAGCTCAAGCTATGGTGTCCGCTCACCAGAAGGAAAGAACAAATATTTTGAGTCCAATTGCTGAAGTTTCCGACGAGAAACTAACTTTAGAATCCCAGAAGAGAAAAAATATTATCAATCTTGATGTTGATGTTGCTGGCATCACAACATTGTCTCCCAGGCAAAGGGTATCTGATGCTTCTGATGTTCACTGCAGTGGGTCACCCCTTATGACCTATTAATGAGAGAGAACAGCATTCTTTTGTAGTGTAACCATACAATTCAACTAGTATGGTTGTTGAATTTACGCGAGTTTGGCCACCGGGTTATCTAGTAGTAGCTCTGATCTAATTCCAAGATCTAGTTTTTTCATCTAGTTGTTTTTTATGTAGAATTGCTGAAGACCCTGAAAATGTAACAAACCCTTTTAAATATAATATACTCGGGACTATTTTTCTCGTAAAATTCTGTTATATGTGATGTTTCTTCAGCATTCTTTAATTTTCTCGTAAAATGAAACAAAACCCTTTGGCCATGCCCCAGTTTGTCATCATCATATTTTAGGTTCCTTTTGGCTTGCAGCTTGTAAACCCTTGCAGACATACATTTTGGGGCAACTAAAATTGAATGTCTATTTTAACGAAATTGATTGGTCATATGAATATCTACTCTATGAAATTGATTGACTAAGACCAATCAGTATTGTTCTAACTAATTATGATACCAATGATCATCAAATATAAGGACTAAATACTTACCAAAGCCAAATAAGTGGTAAAGTAATGTAGTTACAAAAAGCACCTAGATTTGATTATACTTTGTGCGAGAGTGGGAGAGAGAACCTACAATTTGAGATCCAAACAGAGCCTATTCCATTGCTTACTTGGCAATTGAAGAATCCCACACGCAAATGGCCATGGCCAAACAAACAACCAATACTCATGCAAAACTTAGGCCCTTTATTCCTGAAGTCCCATCAGAATCCAATTCCCTTCGCCTTTTTTTTAACGCCTTTATCATCTGCCACAATATTCCGAAAAGACCCAACTTCCATTTGGGTTCACTCTTCTTCCTCTTCAAAGCATTCGTACAGGTACTTCCACCTTAATCAGTTAATTTTGTGGTTTCGAAATCTTGATCGAGCTGTGGTTTGAAGTGAAGTGAAGCAGTTGCAGGGCAGGCAGCCATGGGAGTGGCCATATCTCGGCTTGTGAGGATGCTGTTTGCCAAGAAAGAAATGAGGATTCTAATGGTGGGTCTTGATGCTGCCGGGAAAACAACCATTCTGTATAAGTTGAAGCTTGGAGAGATTGTCACCACCATACCCACCATCGGTATCTGCTTGTTCTTACCATCTTTTCTGTTTTTTCTCAATTCTTTTGTTTTGGTGATTTCATATTTCTCTGCTGCTTTACTTTTGTCCCTGCTATGTTTTGATTGTGTGCTTCTTTATTTATAATGACCAAATATTTTTTAGTCTTTGATAGGATTTTGGTGACAGCATATTTCTGCTTTTCCTTTTTGTCTTTCTAGTTTGAGCAATGTGAAATGATTAAGTTTCGATGTTAAAAAATGAATGTTCTTGAATGAGTCAATGGCCAATATTGAATAATAACTCTATTTCATTCGTTATTTTATCCATGTTTTTCTCCAACCCATTAATATCATTGAGTTAGATAGTGGATCTCTTGATTAATCTCTATGATTACAAGTTCCAAATACAAGGAGTAAATTGCTATTGAGTTAAAAGGTGAGTTTGAGGTTGAGCTTGGTGCCTTTCTTATAGTGTTTTGAAGGGAAGTACTTATTCTATAAGCACTTTTGAAAGAGAAGTACTGCTAAAAGCACTTTAGGTTCTATTTATCTGTTTCTAGAATCACACTTCTAATCTTGGGCTTTTTTCACCGATCAGGTTTCAACGTTGAAACAGTTGAGTACAAGAATGTTAGTTTTACAGTGTGGGATGTTGGAGGCCAAGATAAGGTATTCTCTCCTTAGTTTGATAATTTGGTGAACATGCTCTATACATATTCCATCAGAACCCAATAGAGTTTTGATTTCATTGCTCTCTTGTTGATGCTATGAGCAGATCCGGCCTCTATGGAGGCACTATTTTCAGAACACTCAGGGTCTTATCTTTGTGGTAGACAGCAATGATAAAGAAAGAATATCAGAAGCCAGGGATGAGCTTCACAGGATGCTCAGTGAGGTGCTTAATTCTTCTTTCATGCTCCCTCACAACAGTTCAGTTGGATTTTACTCTTGACATTTCTTTTTCTTTGTCTCCCTCAAGCATGAACTGGTTGATGCAACTGTGCTCGTGTTTGCTAACAAGCAAGACCTTCCAAATGCTATGACCGTTGCTGAAATCACTGATAAACTGGGCCTTCACTCACTCCGAAACCGCCGCTGGTATAAATATCTCTCCCCCCAAAATCCTGTTCTTGGTCTACTATATCTAGTTTTCAATGAACTTATTCACTATGATGGAGCTGCCTTGATAATTTTTTTGGATAGAACTTTACTGCACAGTGTAGTCACTCTATTCTTATCATATTATATGTGAATACCACTAATAAGTTTTATTCAATGTCAATAAAGACAGGCAATCTCAAAGAGTATGTTTAAGTTTCCTTCTTCTTCTTCTTCCCTTTTTTTTCTCTTACCATTTTGAATCTTACTGAAACATGGAGAGGAACAATGCAGGTACATCCAGGCTACTTGTGCCACTTCGGGCCAAGGACTGTATGAAGGTCTTGATTGGCTGTCTAGCAATATCTCAAACAAGGCAAGTTCCATTTACCAGGCTTCCTCTTCGTTTCCCTTGAAGTTAAAACTTTTTTCTTGGACTGGATGAAAAAACAGTAAAAAATACTCAAAACTAATGAATGGCTTGTGAGGTTGTTCTTGCAGGCCTAATCCTGTATTGATGGGAAGCTCTTTAAATGAAGCCAGGAGGAATTTAAGAAAACTTTGTAACTGACCTACCTGGGCACTCTGATCTGCAGTGATTAAATTCTCATAGTTTGTATGCGAAGTTTTGGTTTGAAATCCAAGAAAAATATGTACAAAAGCTACCCCATACCATGTGAACAATAATAACATTTTCATAAATAAATATGATGATTTATAAATGTGGGTCTTGTTGTAACATTAAAATCGATTACGATTTATCAGATAGTTTTGTAATCTTCACTGGCTTGGGAGGATTCCTTGTCCACCCCCTTTGTGTCCTTTCACTGTTAAAGGTGCCCCATGTACTCTTGGAAGAATATTGTTAATAATCTTTTGAGGGTGACAAAAATAATGGGGCCAGAGTAAGAAACTCCTAGAGAAAAAAATATTTAGACAAAAAAACATAGATGAATTCGTTTCTATCTTGTCAAGTTGTCCAACTCAATATAGAGAAACAATGAACTGCTTGTTATCTCATTTAGGGTTTAAACCTATGTGATTATTATCTCGACATTCTACTCAAAAGGCCCCATGAAATTGAATTTTAATAAGCAGGTACTGTTTGAACGCATGCATAGATGGCATAATGAAAACTTTCAAGATTTTTGTTACTTGTTTACTAAAACTCAATTCCTAATTTCAGTTATGAATTCTCATTTTGATTCCCATTTTACTATGCTATGAATTCCAAAACGTGCAGACCAACCTCTGGGTTCTAGGTTTACAGCTTTGAAGAATTCCCAATGACCAGAAGAACTGTTCAGCTGTCAGTTTTTTCAGCATGATTTTGACTGCTTGAAGCTTCACTGTCATCAAACTGTTTATTGGAGAACCAAACAACCTTTTTAGCACTGTCCAGTGTCCATATCACTCAATCTTTTTACAATTAGGCTGCAATTTTAAAAGAAACGTGAGATCAAATAGGGGAGACTTAAAAAAAATCATAGTTGCAATCCTTCAACTTCGTCACTTCTAAAGTTCTGAGCTATTCTGTTCATTTTAGTTTGTCTTTTCTAATGTATCTATTTAGTACCACATCATATTTTCATACAAACAACAAGGAGTCAGCTAAGCTTTTAGTTTACTTTTCATTTCATATTAAACTATTAACATAAGAGGCTATAGATACTTCTAGTATAAAAACTAAAATAGAATATGGCAGCATACAGACTGAATCAAAAGATAAGTGGCAAAGTTCCAAATATAGGAGGAAGTGGAAAAGAGACTACTGGATTTGAATTTACAATAATATCATATCAGATTGAAGTACTATATCTCAGGGTGGAGTACATGAAAAAACTATTCATAACTCGACATAGAAAGCCAACCAAGATCTCATCCCTTCTCAACTTCACTTCTTTCTCTTCACTCACCAGTGAAAGAATTAATAAGCTTCTTCAGCATTGATTCTCAGTCTCATTAGTTTTAGTCAGTGAGGCTGTGGCCACAAACAATATTGGATTGGACCATCATGTTACAAAATGCATGTGAAGATACAGTTACAGCATCATGAGAAGAAATGAGTACTAGAACAATTTCGAGAGTATTGCTTTAGCACAAGGCTACTAGAAACATCGAGAGACACATGGCTAAATGAGCACAATTTCATAGGCAGATGGTGCGGTCTCTCGGTGGGAAGTTTCAGGCTAGGGTGAGATAGATGATACCGTTGGCCATGAATCGTTTGAGGAGTCGGAGATGAAGTATCCATCTATAACATCGCATGGGCTGCCCGGTTCACACATTTGCTTGCTTCTGTTACTAGGATTTTGTAAATTGCAATGACTGCCCAGTGAATCAAGGATGAACTTGTAGCATTCATCTAGGTGATTCTGTAAAAATATCACCAAGTTTCAGCTGGCAGGATTTGGCAATAGTCTACAGTTTAAAAAACAACTCAAATTACCAGAGAACAGAAACATTCAGACATTTATCCATGTTGTTCAGTACCTTATTAATTTTAAGTACGCTGAGGAGCTGATTCTGATATTCTGAGAAGTTATATGGCTCAATCTCACTAATGATGTGCAATATTATTGCAGTGGCCAAGACAGAAGGCAGGTAGCACAAGAATCTATGATCTGGTATAGAAAAATTAATGATTAAGAAATTATGAGTGCATTTTAGAATAGTTCTGTGTTTGCTTGATAAGCAAAGAATTAATGGATAAGCACTAAGAAGAAGGGCCATTCAGCTGTTTACCAGATAGGATCGAGAGGAGAAGGCTCTGAAACCTCCCAAGAACTTCCCAAAGCATATGATTCTTCAAAGGCAACCTCCTGATAATGTGATGGAAGAAGGAAATGGGGGTTATTGGATGCATCTTCCATTGAAGAGCTGACAACACCAGAAGCTCCATTCTCTGGACGGTCTTGGCCTCAAATACAAACTTAGATTCTACCACCTAAGCAAACAGAATACATTATACAGCAACAATGCCGAGTTTTGAATGGGTTGACTGAGCAAAAAACCAACAAAGTACTTCACTGCGGCATTTTTTCAAACAGTTTGAAGAAAAGTTTATAATTGAAGGGTTCATACATACTTGAAGGTCCAGAAGAAGGGGCACTTGGGTCTCCTCCACCTTGGCGGCGAGCGAGAGACAAGCAATAGCCGCGAGCTGAGTCATCCATGGCTTGTCCCTCTGGAATCTCACATTTGAAACGAATCTATCAAAGTAGTTAACGGCAAGAAGAGAGGTCAAAGCAGAGAAGGCGTAGTGATGTTTGACTCTAAAAATCCATGCCAATGCCTCTCTCCGAGCCTCGATTAGATACCCATCAGAGCTCACAGAAGCATGACAAACAAGGGTTTGTTCTTGTTTTGAAATTAGAGACTGCAGCTGGTTGTCCTCCCAAAGTGGGTCGTTTTCTATCAAATTCAAAGTGAGAAAATGCTGGTCCTTTCTCAGAGTTTCACAGTACTCCCCATCTTCATGGATCCCATTTCCGCCCAAATCTTCCTCGCAGCAGAGCTCTTCACAGAAGAGAGCATCRAGGAGTAAGGATTGAGTTTCAATCTCTTGAACCTGGGCTTCATCGTCCTGCAGAGCCATGGTGTTGTTTGTGTTAGAAGGAGAAGTAAGGGGTGGGCAGTTCATTTGTAGCATGGGAAGACTAAAGAAGAAAAGGGAGTGGTCAAACTCAAGCAACCCATATCCATAGCCGTATCCGTTAGTCCCAGTAGATTGAGATTGAGATTGAGATTTAAGCAGAGAGAGAGAGAAGAGAAGAGAGACAGTCCCAGAATGTAGCAAACAAACAAAGAGTTTTTATGCCGGGAAGGTTGCACGCCTGTTGTCTTTTCACTTTTTTTTTTTTCTTTTGGGTTCCTCGAAAACTCTTGAGATTATAAAATAACAGAAGGGAAAACAAAGAAAGCAAAACAAAGAAAAGACTTTTTGGAGTTTGGCGTTGGCGCGGATAATGAAACGTAACGGTAGACTACACAGTGACCTAAGGATGCCTCACTGCCTCGCAATTTCTCAATTTTTGGCTCTTCTCTTCTCTTTGCTTTCTCTTCCCCATTTTCACTTTTTGTTTTTTTGTGTTTTCATTTCTCAAATAACACTATCTTTTTTTTAGTTGATTTCATTTATTTTACTAGAATAAATGTTCGTAAGTTTTCTAAAAAAACACATAATAATTTTAAATTTTTTATTTTCCAAAAGTTATTTTTACTTTAAGCTATGTTAAGGTTCGTTGGATAACCATTTTTTTAATCAAACTTTTTTACTTTTACGTCGAAGCATACTTCCATTTCTTTTATATGATTAAAAAAAGTAATTACTAAATATACTGTTATTTTTGTTCTTAACCAATATGAACCGAGATGGGGTTTACTTCAACCAAACAAAATATCGTTTTGTTTGCTAATTTTCCACTATTTTAAAATAAATTTTGTTTCATTATTTATAGCTACTTGTTAGGGTAGTTTCTGTACATTTTTTTTTTAACTTTTTTAATTTATAGAAGGAAGAGTTGTGATAGTATATAATCTATATAAATAAGTTAAAAGTAGGAATAAGTTTAGGAAGAATGCATCTCTTATGTTTGTTTCATAAATTTATTGAAAAATATATATATAATTCAATGAGCTAAGAATTTATTATCTCGCATAGTCCATCTAGACTATGCGAGCTAAATAAGTTGGTTCTAGACAAAATCATGTTTACATGCAACGTCACTTTTATTTCAAGATCATGACTCTTTTAAATCTCATATGCTCGTCTGAGCTTGTTTGCTCTGATACCATATCAATATTAATGGGTTTCATCTCAAAATCAATTGGTAATAAGAGAAGTAGCTCATGTCTCTTATAAACCTATGCAGTCTCTTTTCTTTTCAATGTGAGATCTTTAACATATACGAGTGAGTCCATATTTATAGGAGTCGGAGGAGAGACCGTTTTATTACAACCATTACAATGCTAGGTTGTTATACAGTTGTAACTGGTTTCGATCCGTAGCTCAATTTTCATACTTGGACAAGTATTATGAGGTAGCGTGAGCTATATAGATCGGTTTGTTTCACCAGCTAGTCAATCTATAGTGTCGAGCCATTGAGCTTGGTGCTGGTAGGTACGTTGTTGATGAGTGAACAAGATGAAATCAACCACTCTTACTAATCCATGTGGCATACCTTCCAACAATCCCTAACATTAACACATTCTCTAGAATCTCATAAACATAAACATTATATCTGATTTTTAAAATCATATATTATTTAAGCTTCTAGAGGTTTAAATTCATTAATTTTAGCCTTTCGCTATATAACTTTAGATTTTGTTATTGCCATAAAACCTTATTTCTGACGAATTGTAGACAACATAAAAAGAGAAGGGATGTCAACTTGAATGTAATTTAACAGTTAAGGGACACAGGACCTCCCGCTCTGATACCATCTTAAGAATGAATAAATCACTCCTCAACCCAAAAGTTTAAACTGATGAGTTTGGTAAATTTAATTCATTTATATGGATTCTAACAGTGATGGTATATAATTTTAAATTTTATTTATAAATTAGATTTAAACATTTGGGTAAGTGTTGAGTGGTATGAAATAACGCACCACATGGTAAGGGAAGAAGAATTACGGTCTGAAATTTATACGTCGACATAAGTAATCCAACCTAAATCTCCTGATGACGTATGATCTAAGTAAAAGTCAATACGTCATACATGGGATCATCAGTTAACCGCTGTTCAACTTCCCACTAACCTTCACCCCGCATATAATACCAAGAATCATGCGACATGTAAATAGATGAAGTAGATAGTGAGTGGGTCCATTCCGATAAGCTTATAAATATGGAGATTAACTTCATATGCAAGTACACGAATTTGATTACTCATCCTAAGACTAACTAGTTCAGATTAAGATTGATTTGAGCGTTACAACGTTTGCTTTTTCTTTTCATGTTATATTTGCATTAATCCTATTCTTAATGGCGACCAGAATTCCGCTAAAACAGTAAGCTATTGAATTTCAATTACTTTGGAGACTGGAATTTTTTATGTTCCAGTAAACAAGATGGAAAAAAGTAGATGGAAGTTCATGTATCCGGTCATACTTAAAAAAAAATTCTATTGAGATGATTAAATCAACTCTTAAACCATATACACATTATCAAGAAAATATAGAAAAATGGTGGGATGAAAAAAAAACATTTTTGAAAAAGTAAAAACAAAATTATTGAATTGCCCAATATGTAGCCTGGTGCTTCAATTAAAACCACCTTTTCCCTAATAATATCAGTCGTTTTCGGAAGGGAAAGAAATTAAAAAAAAAAAAAAGAAAAAAGAAAAAAAAAAGAAAAGAAAAGAAAAGCAAAAACGTATTTTTTGAAAAATAATATATGACAATTACAAGCGGTTGGTTTGAGCTATTTATCTGATGTCCTAATCCTCACGTGCAGTTTAGCGTCCGTACTAGACGCGCAGCCACGTGGCAGTTTCTGAGTGCATACAAGGTAAAACATCATATTGATTCGAGGGGAAGTGAATTACACGCGATCAATATAAGAAGCGTTGACAATGAAGAAACAGAAAGTATAAAGTCTTGATACACGCGACGCGTGAACGTTTATCAGTAAGAAGACTTCTATCGACTGTAGCTATACTGACAATGAGATCATTTTGATGCACACCATGCTACGTATTGTACACGAGGATACATTGCTGCGACCAACTGCGAAAACAGGTCAACTAGCTTCATATCTCCTTGCTTACGGTCGTTTATTCTTAATAAATTTATGAAAATTTTAGGAAATTATGGTAAAATTACAAAAGTATGGTATGGAATGTGGTATGCTTGGTGATTTTGATATGGCATGGAAAAGAAAAAAGAAAATAGAAGTGATTAAATTTGGGTGGGGCAGCGAAAGATGGGAAGAAATTATAGAAATAGAAACAGAAGAGGAAAAGGAAGAAATGGAAGTGTAATTCACGTAGGAATTAGGACAGTGCATGCAGGCGGCCTCTTCTTGTAGTTGTATTGTACCTTCTCCTCTGTAGCGACTACTCGATGACACATGAGATATATGGAATTCCTTACCCTATATTTTTTATTTTTCACACTTTCAATTCTTTAATCACATAAAATTAAGAGTCTTCCACACTTTTATCAATTTTATGATTGATAATTTATGGGTTGCATCATAGGCGGTTTCCAGTTAAAATATTTTATATTTATAATTTTTATACCAAATATAACTTTAGTTATTGTAAAACACTATATTTATGAAACCAAACAACTTGTGATAAATTACCCAAACCGTTCTCACTTATTCTAATGTATTGTTTTTAAAAATATAGTTAATGGACAAATCATAATAGTTATTTATTTAAAAAAATATTTTATTCCAGTCGGTCCTGTATGCAACTCCATGGCTTCCATATTATTATAATTAAACTGAAATTTGTTGGAATTCAGAAAAAAAAAAAAGTTAAAGACTCTGTATATACACATCATTATAAATATAACCCTGTAAGGTAGAGTTTGAAGCTTCAACCCTTTATTTTGGTTTAAAAAGAAAAAGAAAAAGAGAACCCTTTATTATTATTACCATTGTTTTTTTGTTTTTTGTCTTATCTTTACGTGTTGAGCTTTTCCAATCAAATTTTTACTGGCATCACGTTAAAAAAAAAGTAAAAAGAAAAAAAAAATACCATATGTAAATATTTTAACTGTTTTAACATATTAAATTTCGGCGACAATCAATTTTAACTGAGTTCTGTTAAGAGTGCAAATAAATAAAGAAGATATCATAATTATATAAGCAAATGACAACATTTTTATTGATACAAACCATTCTAGATGAATCCAAAACTAAAGTTACGAGGGTTAAAAATTCGAAATTAAAAATATCATATAATTGTCAAAATAGAGAGAGATCAATTGTCCCTAATAAGTGACATCAGAGTCATATCTCAGATTTAGTAATGTCGATGGATTCCTTGATGACAAACCAAAAATGACGAGTCTCAAAGATATGGTCATGTGGAATTATGGATGAATCCTATGTTGTATATACAAACAATAATTAGAGATTACTTTTCTCCACATAAAATATATGTCAAGCGCTCAATGAGGAGGATAATCATATTTAAGTTCCCCACGAGTGGGAGTGAGAGGAAAATTGTCCTCGTGACCTAACCTAAATAAGGAACGAAAAAATTGTATGCAAAATTTACAATACATTGCTATGGTGTTTACATTTTGGGACTTATTTGTATTGATAATTTAGAATTATGAAATTTAATTTTTAGGATTTGACTTTTTAGGAATGAAAAATACATTAAAAAAGTTATAATTTTCTTTTTAATTAGAGATTTTTTTTGTAGAAATTTAACCGTTGAGATGGGAATCTCACGAAGAATTAACATTTAATTGAGAATTTTCTAAAATAAATAATAAATAGTGTTGGAAAAATTTACTCACCAATAATATTTTCTCCTTCCACAGTTCGTCAATGAAAACTAAGTCACATACAATACTAAGAAAAATAGGGAAAGCACGACACRAGTAATTTATACTGGTTYACTCCAACTATAGGCTACGTCCAGTCTTCTGCGACAACGAGTTCTACTATAATATTGAGATAAATACACTAAATCTCACAAACACTCTACAAATCTGGTTGCCGACAATGCTCTACAAACCTCTTTTCTCTTCTCTTTCTCTGCTAACCAACCACTGCCGCCACACTCCTCAATTTTGTGCAACCACACAAAAAGTTCAATTCCCACGGCTAAACCTAAAAGAGATTTATCAACATATATATATATATAATGATGGCAAGTTAACGGGCTTTGTCTATTTTGGCCCATTGCTTGTTTTGACTCCAATTTATCTCAACAAATAGGAATAATTAGTTGCGGGGAAACTTGATCCTTGTGAAATTTCATGGGGTAGAAAACGAAATGGAGGGCAAGGACACGGATAGGGAAGTCATCCTCATCTGTTGCGTCGCCCCGACAACACTCCTACATGCTACAAGATAGTTGACACCAAAATCCCAAAACATAATTCATGATTAATCTCTATCATATATGCATAATGTTCCACATTAAAAAAGAAAAAAACAGACTACTTGAATATAATTGAACATGCAAGAGAGTTGACCTAGATATTAGAGAGATAATACGTTATAGAGAGGAAAATAAGAACAATCACCTAACTATATCTAAGATAGACAAATGGATAACTACTATAATAAGATTTTGTGATATTTTGTTAAATATTTAACATCAGTTTGACAAGAGAAAAAATATGGAGAGATATGATGTTGCTACCATGTCACATATTTTTTAGTAGAAYATATGAGGTTGGGATATCATGGTTAATTCATATGAAATTGATAAAATAACCCATAAACTTAATTAAGTTGATAAAATATATATTATCAAAACTGGTTAGAACTAAAAAACGAAATAAAGTCAGACTCCGTCAAAAGGGCAAAAAAACATTTAGTGAGTTAATTAAAAAAAAAACCATACGCCTGAAAAAGATAAAACTATTTAAACTTAAACAAGGGAGAGAACAAAAAAAGAAAAAAGTAATATATCCAAAATATAAAAATATTTTAGAATAATCTGAAAGTGATATTTGAAATTGAATAAAGGAAAGTAGTTTGAAAGTAGGAGCTAGNAGAAAAAGAAATTAAAATTAAAAAAGGAAGGGCGAAGCTAAGGAAGAAGAAGGGAAGAAATAGGCTGCTTCGAAAGAGGAAAAAATCCGCATAATAAATGTGCCGTCTTGTCGGCTGAACACAGACGGCGTACGGTACGGTTCTCTCCCCTCCTCTTTCAGCTTTAATCCTCTGCGCTCCCATACACCCGAACACTCTGCACCTTCCCCATTTTTCGCCTTAAATACACGCCATTTAAAAAGCCTACTAATTTAATTCTTATGTTATCCCCTAAATGACAAAATATCATGCTCACTTGTTACATATTACCTGTTGAATTTTGAATAAACTATATAACTAATATTTATTAGGCTATTATTATTAGCTTTCTTTCAACTAATAGAATTTGTTGTTTGGTTCCAATATGATTTCTTCTTTTTGACTAATTCTATATGATTACAGATTGATTTCTTTTGATTATAATTCTTGCTCATTACAATTCTTATTAGCATGATGGTCAAAATATTTCAAACAATATTATATTGTTATATATATTTTATCTTGCGATATCAAAAAATAAAATAAAAATGTTTATTATATTTTACAATAATGATAAATAAAAGATTTAAAATAAAAAATCACGACAATATGAAAAGTCTAAAAATAAAAAATCACGACAATATGAAAAGTCTATCTAACCTTATAATTATACACGATAAAATACATCTAATTTATAAACAAATGAATGTTATATTAACTTTATTTAAYGGTGTTTGTAACATGTTGGCATGATTGTTTTTTATAGAACAAATAATTAAAATAAATTATAAAAATACATTGGAGATATTTCAATTTGTCCTCTACCTACCATCACACATTAACAATTAATGTTTGCAGTGTGCGTCTAGTAAGTCACATGAAAAATTATTACAATTTGATATGATTAATTATTTTTGTCTGCTCATAAGAAATTATTTTGCCAAGGTTCGAGTAATTTCAAAAGTATCCTACCACTCATTTGCAAAATGATAAAGTTAAAAGCTCACAATCTAATATTATAATGATAATTATAATATTAATCCATGTAATGATAATTAGCACTTGTACAAAATATAACAAATATGTGAGTTTATTGTTCACACGACATGGAGAAATTATAAATCGTGGACTAAATACAATTGATATTGATATTTTGGGATTTGTAAAATCTCTAATATTTATCTTCTAATTCTTCCTCTTGATGGCTTGTTGATCTTGATCGGTCTATTGACGGCTTGTTCATCTTGATCGGTCTGTTGGGAGTCGAATTCAAATACCTAAAAATAATATGTGACATTATTTAATTGGTCCCAATTTAATGACACATAATTTKTYATTATAATTGTGTGACAATTTATAATTCGTCGAAATTTATGTCAACATAGTTAAATAAAAAAGATACATTGCAATTAGCACAAGTTAAACAATGTTATAACTTATACAACGACAGATTTTGAAAACATATTTACAATGTAATAGTGGGCCGATACCAAAATCAAACTGGACTCACACTGGATGGTTGGAAAATGGGTCGGGTCGAAGACGCCAAAATGGGCCTAGTAGAAATGGTCTTAATCGAGTATTTAATAAATTTCGTTTAACATTTATTTCAATTGAATTTTTGATTTGCTAAAGAAAACTACGGTTTGAGAAAATCAAGTATCAGAGTTTTATTTTATTTTTTCAAATTCAAGGGGTGAATATTTGATTGGAAGTTATAATACTTAGTTGAGTTATGCCCAAATTCGTCAAATATTGTAAGATTTTATATTTAAAAAATAATAATAAAATATGTATAAAAGTAATTTGAATTTTTTAATTTTGAATAGAAATAAAAATTCGAAGCCAACTTGTTCAAATTTCATCTACATATTGAGGTAAAGGAAAAAATTAGAAAAAAAAGCAGAATTATATTTAGGTTACCCAACCCAAAGACCCGACCCTAATTCCGGTTGCTCCCGCCTCCCAGTTCCACGATYACAAAGGTTTCTCGAAGACACAGACGCGGCGGGAACGCACCCACYGTTCCAACTTCACGGTTGCAGTCGTACTTCGAATTCCGGCGGCGTTCCAATGGAGGACAAGTTCGCTACAGCAGAGAAGAAGGTAATCTCCATGTTCTTCAAGCCACCTTTATCATTTACGTGTTGTTACTCAACTGGTCCGTAGAGCGTTCACTTTGTATTTTGTAAATTTTAGTTCTAGGCATAGAATCCGTTAAAACTTCTCATATAGTCGGTGCCTCTGTTGGTTTAAGGGAGAAACCTAGGAAATATAAATGGAAGTGACTTGAATTTGTTTGCTACGTAGGTGCTCGTCGAGATGGTGCGGTTGGCCCAAAAGCGAGGAATGAGAGGTGGCGAAGGAGACTGGAAGGAGTTTCTTAATAGTCATGATCCTAAGTTCGGGGCTAACATGAGTGACCCGTCTAAGAGGTCCAATGATATGTTGATTGCTTTTCTCAAGACATTTAGTAAAGAGGATGATTTGATGGTAGTGAATCCTTGTCTCTGTATATCACATACGCCATTGGAGTTTTGTGTTTTCTGCTCGCTGATCTCTTATTATTTACCAAGCTAAGAGTTATAAAAACCACGTGTATGTTTTTGTCATTAGTTTTTGGACAAAGTACTCCAGTGTAACGAGAAGCGTAATTTTGTGAAGCAAGTATCGCAGAGCACTTCAGACAAAGAATCACCTGAGCAGGTGGGATTCTTTCTGGTGGAGGGTCAATATGTACGACGATAAATTTGTCTAACTTAGTTATGTATATTTGCGGATTCCAATATTTTTCTGATGGCAATCAACAAATTTTCTCGACTGCATTTGGACTGTTTTTCTTAATAGCTGTTTTTCCTTTCATAAAGTACTACTTTTGCAAGGTGAAAAAGTTGTGACAGAGGATTTTTGAGCTTGAGCACTTTCAAATGTATTAATGAAATAATAATCTGTTTGTCTCGGGTTGTTGCCAGTAACTATTATCCAATTCCATTGTTTCCCTACTCACGATCAACTTATCCTGGTTTATTGATTCGACCTTCCTTGTATTTTGTTGAGTTTTAAATCTGTTGTAACTTTGTAAGCTGTATTTTGTTTATTCTCTTGTAAGTCCTTTTAACCCATGATTGTGGCAGTGCAGAGGCTGGTTCGGCTTACACTTGAACACCCACAGTACCCATTGGAATATTCATTTCCGTCGTATGATAAGGTAGGATGTCAACATCTGCTGGCTTTGTTTTGTGGGTTTGGATTATTGTTCTTTTATTGTCAATAGATTCTAATAAATTTGCCATTTTAATTTGTAATATCTTTCTAAGTTGCTAAATGATTGCCCATCTGTTTCGTGCGTTTGTTTTCACTTGGGGGTCTGTTTTTGAAGGGATGGATTGTTACCAAATTCAGCCAAAAGTCTAAAGCACTAAAATCAAATTCGATGTATGCCATTGATTGTGAGATGGTTCTCTGTGAAGATGGAACAGAAAACTTGGTGAGGGTTTGCATGGTGGATCGTGACTTACAAGTATGCTCTTGACCTTTCCATCTTCTTGTATCCTCTATGGAAACCGTCCTTTATACATATAGATATACGCACATTTTTATTGAAAAACAACTATTCCTTTTGTTTGCAAGCATACATATGATCTCATAGATTTTATTAGATTCTTTATGAGGTCCCTCTTGGTCAATTTTATGGTGAGTTTAGAGTTCTCTCTGCAGGTGAAAATTGATGAACTTGTAAAACCTAGGAAATCAATTAAGGACTACAGAACTGAGATAACTGGAATTTCTCCTGGGGATTTGGATGGAGTTACTTGTTCTCTGGATGATATACAGGTATTTTATAATTTGTTTCTTATGAGGTTGTTTTGCTCTTCCTTGAACATGTAAGATCTGATATTGTCTGTGAAAATTGTAGAAATCCATGAAGAAATTGTTGTCACCTGGAACTATTTTGGTAGGCCACAGTCTGAACAATGATCTCCATGGTAAGCTAAAAATGATCTTCATCAGTGGTTGTTTTCTTTTAAATTTTTAAGGCCATATTTTTATTTTTGGGAGTTTTATACTCTGTTTTGCATGAAGTATAGAATATACCCAGATAACCTAGGATGCTTATGATACGGGAATCCCACTCAACTTTTTTTTTGTACTTGTTTTTTCTTGTGTGTTCTTTGTATATTCTTTCATTTCATCTCAATGAAGGCACAGTTTCTTATCTTAAAAGAAAAAAACTTTACATTCAATTTATTTTGAAAGATACTTGGTATAAAATCTGAAAATATGTAATGGTTGAACTTTGAAGATAAAATATCAAAATAATAAAAACAAGTTAAGCATAGAGATTGTGCAGTGGTATCATAGCAAACAAAACCAGCCATGTATCGGATGCCACTCAAATACATAACCATATGGATTCAGGATTCCCATGTTAGGCATCGGAATTCCTTGCAAACAAATGGCCTCTTGAAGATTGTGCGTATTGCTTCTCCCTGACATTTGTTTATTCTTTTGTTGCTACAGCACTTAAGTTAGATCATGCAAGGGTGATTGACACCTCATTTATCTTCAAGTATTCCAATGGATCTATCTATAGAAGGCCTTCTTTGAATAAGCTGTGTAAGGTATGTGTAAGATATACGTTTTTCATAGTTCATGTTATTTCACTCATGCACCAAGTACTTTTAGATTTATGTTTCTGAAAGGGCTTTCATGTGCCTAATTTAAACCATCTCTCTTATA